CATGTTGGATACTGTTATTCTCTGAGTACCACTTCTGATAAAGTTAATAATGCTGTTAATTTACTTATTACCTTCTGCTGAAAGAAACACTTAAAAACTACATCAGCTGACATCTCTGAATATTGAAATGCAATAAATGCTTTGAAAGAAACAGCAACAGAAGAGTCAGTGATGTGCTTGTAAATCATGGAATACTGGAAGTGTGTGGTTCCCCCCCACAACTGAATGGCATCTCTAGATGCCTATATTTTTTATTAAAGAGTAAACAGAAACTGAGAGCTTTATCAGTAGCATCCCAACAACTCCAAATTGAGCTGGATATTCTGAGATCACAGGCATCTCAAAGGAACTGTTCAAGGTGGTAGGGGAAGGATAGGGCTGTTAGATGGTGCCCTCCTTCCATTCCCTTTTGGTGTTAGGAAGAAGGATCCCAGCAAATCCTCACTGATGGCAGGGAAAGCTTGCCAGGAACCTGCTGACCATGGAGGCAGATTAGAGGAGTACAGTGGAAACAAACTGTTCCTGCTACAAGCTACAGGCACAAGGCTGATTGACAGAGACCACTGAAAAGCACTGATCACATTTGACAGCCCTTTCAACTTCCCTTTTTCCCTTTCCCCTCCCAGCTGTTCTCTTTTACTGCTTTCCTTCCCTCATGAACAAAAAGTGTCCAGGATTACTTTGATCCCAATTAAGCTACATCTGTAGCAAATTTCATATTTCTGATTGAGTTATATGAATTATAATTTAACACCATTACTACTTTGAATTAACCTATCCAAAGATCTCGTATTTATGTAATCAAGGTCTACTGAAAATAAAATTTCTGTAAATACTTATCCAAAACATAGTAATCTGAAAAACTGCCTACTTATGTTCTTTCTGTGGTGTATCTCAGTCCAGACATAGTGTGCATCCTACAGCTATGTCAAGAGGAAAGAAAAGTTCTCAAAAATTTTTTGTCATCAGGAAACAGGTTACAGATCAAGCAATTTACTTGCACTCTTTTAAAATGAAAAAAAAAAAAAAAAATTAAAAAAATTACATAGGTGCTAACATTTGCACATGCCAGCACTAAATTGACAGACTTTATAGAAAGTAGTGTTCTCAGCTTCTTGGCTTTTGGTTGAATGGTTCATTGCTTAAATCGGACTCATTTCTTGATCCCTTTCTCTCTCATTAAAGCCATTAGTCTTCAGCCCAATGCTGGGAAAAAAGTTACAAATTCCTGGCAGATATTGGAAAGCTCTGAGAGTTGAACAGAGGAAAAACAATTTAGGTAGTTGAGACTATATTGTTAAAAGTTGCAAAAAATCACTGTTCTAAACTACTACTAGCAGCAGGTGATCTAGTGTAGGTAGTTGCTCAATAATATGAGGATGTTCCTTTAGGACTGCTATTATATTGTACCTTCAGCAATAACTTTTGGTGCCAAAGCAGGCTGTGGTGGATGTATATACATAGTTTTTCTGCATTAGTAGAATTGCTTTTTGCCTGATTATTTTTTTCTTGTGTTGATGGAAACTGTCACACAGTAGGAGGTGATGTACTCAATAATGGTACGTCATTACTGTTAAGCCAGTTCATATCAGGCTTCAATGAAAACTCTTAATTTCTCAGAGTGCTGTCACAAAAAAGGTTTCTTTGTTTTTCGTGTTCCAAGTCACTGAGCTTTTATTTTTTATAGTCTTCTGCCATAATAATCCTGTGGTATGTAGTAGTTGGTCTATACTTTAATGGGCATTTTATAGTTTTGAAACATTGTTTTCTGGAATAGTTTAAAAGCAAGTGATTTATGAGCAATTAGAACAACCCTGCGAACAATGACATGCATGATGTGTTCTGCATACAGTCTCTTTTGTTTAAGTAGGTGGGAGAATCATACTACATCTATGTGGAAAGTTGGGATAAAGGGAAGGGACAATTCCCTATGTCTAGATTTCAAACATGTCTAGTTATATCTGCACTTGTATACATATGTGTGTATCCACTGGCAGAAATTGCTTCTGTGGGTGATTTTTCTTTGTGCGTATTGTTGAGCACCAGTATTAGGAAGGATCTTTTCTGGTCATTGAGTTCATCCCCCAGTACAGAGGGCTGTTCTTCAGGATGTGCTTTCTGAAATGGAATTCCTCAATTCATGATTTTTTTCCATCAAGGAGTACTGCACAGCCTGCTGGAAATCAGTGCAGCTAAAAGTCTGTTTCCATGATCAACAATCGGAAACAGAAACAAAAGGTCAGGAGGCAAACCATCTAAATGTGCACACGCTGACTTGTACCACTTCTTTCCTTCCATCTGCTGCTGTGAAGACTCCAAGAAGCAGTTAAAAACTTGAAGCAAGTGCTGAGCTGTGCAAATATTAGTCATTATGAAATACTTTCTCTTACAGATGTAAATTTTGCTAACCTTTGCTATTAGACAAATTCTTTTTCTTTGAGAGAAATGAATAGTTTGCACGTGAAGGCTCTGCAGTGTGGAGTCTGCATTTTGAAAGTGACTGCTGAGGAGGAGCACTGGGGAGTTTATGCTCAATTCCCAAAATACAACATAGAAAATATGGATTGGGTAGTACAGTGCTTGTATGGGACAGCATTAATTCTGCCAAGTAGCCACAAAGATACTGTGTATGTGTTTTCTGAGTTTAAAAAATAATGCTAGAACAATATTTGTTTTAGGCAGATCGTGGTAATTTCAACAGATTGTCATGACCTTATCCTTATAGTATCAATTTCAGAAGAATGGCCACTATTGAAACATGAGCAAGCAAAAACGCCTCTGCAATTTCTTGCTCCGTTCCTTAGTGCTAGTATTTCTGTTGTATTAAAAAGTAAAGTAGTTATAATTACACTGCTAGAGTAAAATCAGATTTATAAAGTTATTCCTATTTTTTAAGCTTTTAAGGCTTCTCTGTTCTGTGCAGTTTAAGAGATTCTCACCCAAGTGTGTAGATGATAAAAAGTCTTCTGATATCTTAGGATTTTAGGTTCACGTGCAGCAGCTGTTTGTGTTTGCATGTGTGTTAGCTTTCAAAATACTGTTCTATTGTAGTCTTACTAAAGTCTTCCTAAAAGGAAGAATTAAAATAAGTAAGCTTGGCCTAAAGAACATCTGGGTGAAATACAGTGGAACTGATAGGAAATGGCTACAAAAGATCCGAAGAGGTCTGTAAAGAAAGCAGTGTGAAGATACCCAACTTGTACCAAGGCCGTGTTGCGTTACTCTGCAGCTGTTACTACAAAAGTCACATCTCAGCATAAAATCCTTTTGGGTAGTAATAGTTTCTGTGAGCATTAAGACAAGTGATAAGAAAAGCACAGCTCAGGTTTTTAGTATGCAGCACTGTTAGAGGGCTGTATTTATTGTTTTGCAAACTAAGCAATACATCCTGAAGCAGTAAGGATTTAGTTTTCCCTTATAAAGAGCTATCTACTTTGACTTGCTTACACATATATCCTTCATTAATCAAATGAAATATGTATTCATCCATTGTTTTATGAAGAAGGAAGAAAGGTTCCAGAGTTTCTGGTTGGAAGAATTTGTGGCTGTATGTTCATGGGCTTCACGCATTGCTTAATGGTTTCACACGGCGGTTACTAATATCACATTTTCACTATTGTAATGCTATCTGCTGCTGTAGTGCACAGAACTATTGATTTTTTGCTGTATTAAGCTTCTCTACAGCTGACAGCTGCAAAGGCTGTATTTATATTTTGCAGCTCCTGCAGCAGCAACTCTCAGCCAACAGCTGCTGCTTGCGTCACTAAGGGAGGACACCTCTTTTACCTGCCCTTCCTGAAGGGAGATCCTTGTACAGTCTTCCTCCTTGTCCTTAGTTAGTGCTGTTGGTAAACCCAGCTCTCCTTTGCAAGCAAACAAATGTGCTATGTTTTTTCCCTCTCTGCTCAATAGGATTTACTAGCTAGGTTATCCCTGTGTGCTACATCCTGTCTTGTCTGCGCTGGAAAACACAATTAACATGTTTACGACAGCATCTTGATAAAGAAGTTCCTTTTCTACCATCTGACAGATGCAGTGTATGTTTCAATGTTTATGTTCAAAAGTTTATTTAAACATTTTATGTATTTGCTTATTATGTTGTAGGTTTTAAGTTCTATATAATTAAATTTTTCAAATGTTAGATTATGAAAAGCATACTTCTGTTATATTTTGAATTAATTTTAGCAGGTTAAGATGTTCCACAGTTGTCTGAATATTCTGAATTGTTTAGCAGGCAATTAATTTTATGTGTAGAAATGGGGATAATTTTGAACTAGCGGACATGAGCAGTTGTGTGCTTGAATGGCTACATCTAAAATAACTTGAAATCATTTTAGCTAAGTCCTTATTCACAGGACTTAGCTAAAATGATATAGCAACGTACGTAGTTGCCAAGGTAAATGCTTGTTTATGCCTATATTAGTTTCTCTCTTAATTTTATTGGAGGAGTTAGTGGGAGCTGACACTCTATTGTTAGACAGAAGAGATTTGCTAAAATCTTATAATTTTCAAGCAAAAATACACAATTCTAGACCAAAAACAGTGAATTTCAGAGCTGAAGCAAAATGTAGGAGAACTGTTATGCTTTAGGAGAACAAAAATGTGAACCTCAGTAAAGAAGTCTGTAATTTTGGCTTTTCACTGATAAAGCCATTGATTTGTGGACGTTTATGAAAGGTTTAATATTACAACATCTTCTCCATTAACTAAGATCATACAGTTCACAGTTTTGATCTTTAAATCACCTTAACTTTAATGATTCTTTCATCTGCTTAGAAGATCTTTAATATTAGTTCTCTTCTTTTGTGTGTATGAAACATGCATACAGAAACATACAACTCCTTATAATAAAAAAATCAAAGGTAACAGTAAGCAATTCCATTTCTCTACATTTGAGTAGGTTTGTAAGATTTGCTTTATAATCCAGTGTTTCTCTTGGCAGAGTAGAGAGAATAATGACTTGATACGGTATATGAAAATATATTCTTTTGTTGTTTTAGTTTGACAAAGGATATGCGTACAGCATTCGCCACAACTATGGGAAAGAAGGAAAGAGAACTGACTATACTCCATACAGCTGCATGAAGATTATCATGTCCAATCCACCAAGTCAAGGGGATTATCATGGTGAGTTCCTAAAACCAACAGGTTCAAAAATATTGGAAGCCCCTGGCTAAAGAAGAGAACCAAAGAGATTGCATTTGATTTAAAGTGGAAGTTAGTTAGTTTGACTGCTAACTAAGGTAGCCACTGCTGTTCTCTGTTACTCTTCTTGTGGTCAGTCTTTCTTGGCTGATATCATTCAGCAAGTAAAGTTCACTTTTGTACTCAACTTTGGTTCTTTTTCCTTCCCTCCTCTTCTCCCATTATGTGTAAAAAAAAAAAAAAAAAAAAAAAAAAAAAAAAAGACCAAGTATTGATGTATGTATTTACTGGGGGCTGCAGTGTTTAAGTTATCACTGTGGAAGTCATGGCTTACATGTATGTAACCCAGACTACATAGATACTGCAAAGAGAAACTTAATGAGATCTGAGTTGACAATGTTTTTTCAATATTAGAAAGAAATAAATATTTCAGCAATTTGTTTTGCAGTGATGTGTAGTGCTGAACAGAGGTCCAAATAGTGACTATGTAGCATGCATAGTATTTGAGTGTTATCTTTTACACTGAGCTTATTTGCAAAGCCAGTTTTACGAAACTAGTTTCCTTACTCAAACAAAAATTATGTTTTGGTCTTCTTAAAATTCTCACTTCAGATTAAGATCATATTTTCATAAGTATTAGTTTTCTATTGAGAAATTATCTGAAGGATTTTTTCTACAGTGTCTGTCACGTTACTCACCCCTGTAGTCTCTTGTTATGTTTTTAATTTCAGGTTTACAGTGGTCTTGCAATAATCTTTCTAGATCACACTTGGTGGCTTCTAGCTTTGTATGTATTGTGTCACACAGTATAGAGTGTGAACACTTATAGAGGCTCTGAGATATGAATTAAATCAAACATGAGTTCCTACATTTGCTGCAGTACTTTAAACCTCCTATTTCTGTGTGATTAAGTGAGAAAAAAGTGCACCAGCCTCACTGTTGTAACTCTAGTGTTAGTTAGCACAGTCATAGAATTGTTAAGGTTGGATAGATCACCAACGCCATTTAGTCCAGCAATCAACCCATCACCACCATGCCTGCTAGACTATTTTTCTCAGTGCAATGTTTACCTTTTTCTAGAAAACTCCTGGGATGGTTCTGAAGGTTGTTTCCTTTAGTTTTCTCCCAAGATTAATTCTGGGACATGAGAAAAGCAATGCTTTTTCAAAGTGCTGGAACTTTTAAAAGTAATATTTTTACAAAGGGCTATGCTTTAAAGACTGGTTGACTCTTATTACTTGTTTCTTCCTGGTTTTTCACAGCAATTAAATGTACCAGTGCTATCACTGTAAGTAAGCTACTAACGAAATCTCCTTTCCTGTCAGCGAGTGACAACTGTGGCCTCTTTATATTAGGTTATTTTATGTAACTCTTGGGCCTCTGGTGCACTGCTGACAATGCAGTGGAGTAATTATTATAAAAAAAAAATTAAAAGAAAAAAATAATTGCACATATGGACAATTAACTTGTATATTAGTAAGCTGTTGGACAATTAGGAGCAGTTTAGTTGGTCTCTTGAGTGTGTTACTGTGCTCCCTTCTGGGTAAACAACCTTGTTTGTGAGCTTGTGTGTTTTGCTGTCAGGATGCCCATTCCGCCACAGCGATCCTGAGCTACTGAAGCAGAAGCTGCAGTCATACAAGGTTCCTCCCAGTGGAGTAACTCAGGTAAGATATAATTTGTTTGGAACTCTCTTTAATGAGGCATTGTTTTTTAATTTTATTTCATACTGATGTAGGAATACTACACGTAAATTGTCAATATGTGTGTTAAATATCTCTTAGGAAGGATCTAAGCCAGAATCTTGTCTTGTTCCAGTGTTCCCACTGATGTGCTGACTGTTGTCATCACCTTCTGTTGTTTAATATTATGAATTGGTTTATTACTATAATGAATGCAATACAGAATTTTGTTTTACTTCATTTTACTTCATCGTGGTTAAGAAAAAAATCAAATGAATCTGGCAGTATTTTTAGAGAATTTATTTTTTAATTTTGCACCAACTTGTGGAAGGTAGTACTGTGCGTCATAAGTTGGTGTCACTGTTTTCTGTAATAAACTTCTAAACCCCATACATTCTTAATCATGCATAGTGCTAACTTCCCTGAGACAATGAGAACGCATGAGATGCCTACTGAAATTTGACAGAGTTTATCAGATTTTTGAGTGGTAGCAGTAAATTGAAAACCTGTCATTTATAGCGAGAGCAGTACAGAAATTGGAACTTCTTCACACTCATACTGAAGGACGGCGAATCTCATTGATTCTTCTTGCAGGAGTTTAAAGGATCTATACGTGTGTTGTCATCTTCATTGAAGGGAGATATACAGGTTAAAGTTCAGGCGAGACAATTCAGCGAAAAGTCATGTATATGAACTGTTTGAAACTACTTTCAGTCTGAAAGATTTTTTTTTCTTGTTAATGTGGAATATCACCATTGCTGATCAGGCAGCAACAGAGTGCTGAACCAGTTAGAAAAGTTAGAAAAGAAGTGCTAATTTCACTTAATCCCCTTGGAAGAAGTAATTAGGATACAAAATTAAAGAGAATATTTTATATTTTTTAATTGGTGAAGACAATTAACTTTTTGCAAATTTAAGAAATACTAATACTTTTTCCTGGAAATGTCTTATTTCCTTTTTTTTTTTTTTTTCAATCCTTCCTGGTCCATAAATAGACATGTAACTGTCTTTCATATATCTGACAGTATCTAGAGATACTTTCTGCATATTTCCTTTTTATATGCATCAAAAAATCGCACTGCTCTCAGATTTTTATCCTGCTAATCATTGGAAAGATTGGTAAGGATTTAATGTATTAGCTGCCTTACTATACATGGGTAGGATTCAGCTGAGGCCATTTCTTCAGTGCGTTTGCACAGTGAGGCAGGATCTGTATATTTAACACAGTTCCTTAGCTCACTTGTGAATTTTCTTATTTATCAATTTTTTTTGTCAAATAGGATTGGGACTCAGTACAAACCTTAAATTTTCAGATATTCATCTTCTATATCAGACAGGCTGAGATATTCAGGAGAGAGTGTTTCAAATCTCCTGTGATATTGTACTGATCTTATTACCGTCAATATTCTTACACATCTGCTTGGTCATTCACGGCCAATAACAGTTCATAGTCCTTCAGTCCAGGCTGTGACTTGTCTTCTCCAGTGCTCGTAACAATTGTTGATCTTCCAGTGGTATCAGCAATGTTGTTTTTCTTAAGCTAAGTGAATGGGGTGAGCAGGGGGTGAATGGTTCATCCATCTTTCAGAATCTCTGATGTAGTTGCTTGGCCTCAGAACTGACTTTCATTAAGTGTATGTACCTTCTGAATCTGTTAGATGTTCTCCTAACTTCAGATCAGAGAGAGCCTCCTTTAAAATCTGACAGATTCCTAGTTTGAATGAATGATTCAGAACTTGACCTTTCAGCTATTTCAATAAACAGTGTGTGACCTGTGGGTCATGGCTTCTCACAGCTGCTCCTTATCTTCTACTGAAATTCTTTTGCTGTCTTCAAATATGAAGTTTTGTTTTGTTTCTGTTGCTTTGTGTTCTAGATGGTTGTCACAAAGTGAAAAATTTCTTTCTGTGTTGTTACAACCAGATCAATGTGTGTACTGCAATGCTTTTTCAGTTCTGCCTGCTTTGTCATAGTGAAAAATGCATTTTTCTGAACTGAGGGGATGCTCAAGCGGCCTCGTGATAAGGACAGCCAACTTGAATTTTATATAAATGTTTCAGGACTCTGAGATGTGAAAATTCCACATCCACCTGGTAAAAAAACAGTTTGCAAAGTAGCTGAAATCACTGATGATCTGGGAGGATCATGTAGAAAGTCATGACAGCACCTATATAGTTGCTTCAGCCTCAGGCATTACAAGCTGTGGTCCCAGAGCATTCCCTGTGCATCTTTTAGTCTCCAGAGTCATCCCCAACTTCCCAAGATCTTAACCCTTTCTGGGTTAGAATCTTCCCCCTATCCCAGAAAAACATGCCCATGCTTCATATTTTCAATGCCAAAAGATGTTCCTTTTTCTTATGTACAGATGTTTTTAGGTTCAACTACTTATAAGTAACCTTTCTGTTGTTTCTAAAAGTGGTTAGCAGTGGCTGAGCAGATTTCTGTGGAGGTCAAGGAATCATTCTCAACTATATTGGTGTGACGAGTTAATTGGATTATCGTAAGCGTTAATATGATCTACAGCTGAGAACTCATTACCCTATGCAGAAGAGAAGGCACTATTTCTAGGTTTTTCTCTGAGGAGTAGAGGACTACAGATTCCTTTGTATGCTGTAAGCATAAGAAATGCTTCTTTTTAAGAATGTGTCTACGTTTATACTCAAGAGACCTCCTCGGTGGATGGTTTCTGCTGTAAAATTCGAGGTTTTTCTGACAATGTGTACATTTGTTATGTAGCTGTTGTTATGGAGACAGATGAGATTTTTCAAAAGGCATCTTCATGATAAGTCTCAAGGTGCATCTCTGTGTGCAAGGGCTTGAGATCTTCAAGCTTGCCACCCAGAGTTCTGTTAATGTGCTTGCCAAGTATTTTGTTCTTGTTGAAACTGCCATGTGGTCCTGTGTTTTTTGTTGTTCTAGATACTCCAAGGCACTCACTCTCCTTGGTAGAGGAGTGAACGAGAGCATGCATCATGCTATGTTGCTCTAATGAACAGTTGTCGATGCTTCTCTTCTACTAAGAAGTTTGTTTTAAGGGATTGAAAGGTCAAGAGTTTGTCGGCTACTGAAATTAATTTCTCATTCCAAAAAATGAGGTTGATTGGAAACTCATCAGGCCTTCCACACGTATCAACATCCTTCATCAGAGCTCTGATACTGTCCTGGCTGGAGGGGCTAGAGAAGCTGTGGTAGCTAAGGCTATGCACAGAGGGTTTCACATTGGCACAGCTAGTTTGTGCCCAAAATAAAGCTGCTCTGATGTCTTAACCTTAATCTGTGCAAGTATGAATACAGCTGTTCAAGTTTGAGCTTGATGGAGACTTAACACTGTCTTTGCAGTGCATCATGATTTGCATTTTGTAGTTGGGAGGACTGTTATTCATAGCAGTCTGTTGGACCCTTATCTCCAGTTCATACAGAGTGATCTGGATCAGAACTATTACTTTTTTGGGGTGTTTCATTTCCATTTGATCAAAATGGTTTTAGTATCCATGAAGGATAATCTGATAATGTTGAGGACTTTTTTTTTTCTGATTAGAGTACCAAAGGTTTTTACATTTTGATGTTCTTTTGTGTTTCTCTTCAAAAACATCTGTGCTGTCAGTGCAAGAAAAACCCCTGTGGTTTACTCCTGGTTATACTGTGTTCAACAAGATCATATAAACTGAATAGTGGTGGCTTATCTTCAAATAAGTGAGCTCACAGTGCTCTAGACCATCAGATTTGGATTTGTAGTATATCAGCAACAACATCAGTGATTCTTTTTTCTTGTTCTCCTGCAACTTTTATGACTCATCTGAAGAGATCCTTGAATCATGAAAGCTGGGTTACTGTCTTAATTGATCCCAGGTTGATTGGAATGGCTGCAGGTGGGTTTTGTTGTTTCACGAATAATTGCAAGCAGCAACCTGTTGGTTTGGATGCATTTTCCATCCTGTTTAGTTTATACCTTCTGTTTCCTTGGGTTCATTCCAAATCACCTGTGCTCCAACTTGATTTTAGTTCTGGGATTTCAATCTGTTGTTTTAGAGTACTTGTATGTCTTGCCTTCAAGCAAGTGAATTATTACCCTGTCTTGTTTACAAAGCTTATTCCTCAATGCTGTTGTGTGGGCCAAAATATGAGCTACTGTCTAGCTTATGTATAGGTCCTTTCCAACCTTGTGATTCTATAATTCTATGATCATCAATTCCAGAAAAGGAAAAAAAAAAATCAGAGAGTAGAGAGGTTGGACACCAAGTCAGTGAATGCCACAAGTTGGTAGATCAATTCTAGCAGATGCATATATCTTGTCAGATTAGCACTGCTCTCATTTTCAAACTGGACACTGTGTCTAAAAATGACTAATAAAGAAGCAAATGAACATTGCTTGAAGAGCAAAATACTCTGCAGTGTGTTCACTATTGCTTTTGAACTGCACCAAGCAGCAGTCTCTCTTCTCTCACTGCACTCAATCTCTCATAATCCCTCTTAGATCAAGTTTTTAAAGGATATTGTGTATTTAGAAGGAAGGCTTCTAAATTTAATAAATATTGCTGGGCTTTGTAAAGATATGTGTCTGAGTTCTTACTCACGGAGGTTACTTTCTCAGTGCTGTCCTCAGCCTTATGTTTCTAGGGCTGTTCTTCATACCCTTTACATAAGAAGTACTCCTTTTTTTTCCTTTAAGATTCACAGGACCAGGAAGTTGCTGAAGTTTTTCCATGCAAATAAAGCATTAGGCCGTTCTGTGGAGGGAACAAATGTTGTAATCACAGTATTTTTCCAAGTGGCTTCTGTGCATGGAAGAGGTGTTAAACAAGAAAGCTGGTCTTTGGGACTGTGATACAGAGTAAAGAGTGCCAGGCTTCCCATGAGTCAATAGTGTGAGTGCTGCTTCCAGTGCACTCATTTTGTAGTACAGGTAGTATTGAAAAAAGAGATGAAAACATTTGAATATGTGAATCTCCTCAATGTAAAGTATCAAGATCCAGCTTGCTATCTCA